CCCTAACTGCTTGCCTGCCTGCCTGATCACCCCTAACCACCTCTGCCTCAGCCCCCACACAAGCGGCTCATCTGGAAGGACAATCTGGAAGGTTGAAGGACATCTGGAAGGTTGTTCATATTACGCTTTTATTATTAAATATTACGCTTTTATTATTAAAGATACACACACACACACATATTCCAATTAGAACAATTAGGAAATTGTGATAATTTTATATAGAAATATTTTGCTAAGTATATGTCAATGTTTGTTACTAAGAAAAAATCCTTGCTCTGGCTTGGTTGGTTGCAGCATTGGCCCATACACCAAAAGGTTGCAGGATTGATTCCCAGTCAGGGCACATATGGGAGGCAACCAATTGATGTTTCTCTTTCATATCAATGTTTCTCTCTTTCCCTTCCTCTCTCTCTCTCAAATCAATAAAAAAAACAACATATCCTTGGGTGAGGATTTAAAAAATCCTATTTCAAATATTATTACATTCAGAAGTCACCGCATCCAAACTCCTAAACAAGTTAAGTGAACTCCTCTGCTAGACCCTTTTTCAACATTTTGGCCAACCTGTAGCTAAAGTGTAAAAACTACCTTTCTTTAAAAAAAATAGGGTATAATCCAGAATTTACACAAATTTGGCCACATTTTGCCTTCAAAGACGTAGGCATTATTCTTTGTTAACTGTACCCTTTTGGTGGAAGAGTCATACTTTACTGTTTCTAGTCATACCTGCAGGTTTTCCTCTGTCGTCACCCAGTGGCCTCCGACGCCCAGAAGAGTGAGGATATCATGCTTATGTGGTAGTAGTTGTAATTCTGCAGCGGGTTCATCATCTTTACTATATAATCTCACTTACAAGGGAATAGTTAAAAAAAGAGAGTAAAGAAATACATATTTTAGTCATCCGATGAAAATTTATTCTTCAAACAAGTTCTCTTTCCTTTTTAATGTAGGAATGAGAAAGCATTTCTTTAAGAAAAAGTCAACACAATGTATTCAGACACCTTAAAATATACTTTTGCATTAAAACTGGTCATAAACTTTACTCCAGATTTAATTATAAGTGAAATAACTAAAGAAAAAAAGTGTTTTTCAGCCCTGGCTGGTTTGGCCCAGTAGATAGAGCATTGGCCCTTGGACAGAAGGGTCAAGGGTTTGATTCTGGCCAAGGGTGCTACCTCAGTTGCAGATCCCCAGTTGCAGACCCCCAACCAGGTGCGTGTGGGAGGCTCTCACATCAATGTTTCTCTCTCTCTGTCTCTCCCCCTCCCTTCCACTCTCTGAAAATCAATGGAAAAATATCCTTGGGTGAGGATTAACAAAAAAAAACAACAACAAAAAGTAAAACAACTACGAAGAAAGTCTTTTTTTCGTTTGAGAACCAGGCACGGTAATGCAACATGGAACTAAGTCTGATAGTTTTAACCATAACATCAGTGGCTTGATACTTTGGGAAAAGTTGACCTTTGATTAAGGAATGCATAGACTCAAGATGGTCATACTTTGACATAATTATTGAAATTTCAACTTGAAAAGCTAAGGAAGTATACATTCGCTTCCACTGAAAGATTCTTTTGTAGTGAATTTAAAATCCTGAAAACACTGGCAAAAAGAAACACATATGATGGCCGCATGTCGCTGTATTCACCATGATTCTCACGGGAGAGGATAAATTCTAACGAAGTGTAAGCAGAATGCCTTTGCAGATGGTAAAACCTATCCTTTAGGTGAGACGGCACTACCTAACTGTACAAATTAGGTGCTAAACAGCAAAAGCGCAAGGAGGGTGACAGTGGAACAGAATTCTCTTCGTTTTCCAAATAGAGACTGTAAGTCAGCCAGCCAGTAGAGGGCCGTATATAGCAAAAGCATCTGGCTGAGACTAAACTAATGTGTATCATGTGGGAACCATGGAAGAGATCATGTTTGTAGATTCTTGTAGGGATACTTCAATCCAATGCCTAGACTTTAAAAGGCAAGCATGCTCTCTCTTCCAGACAGAGTTTACAATGGGATCAATTGAAGAAGTGCCCATTTGAATATGAAAGTTTAAAAGAAACCCCAAACTAAACAGCAATTTAATAAATATGTTAAAAATTATTTCCTGAAAAAAGTATGTATTTAAAAATATATATATATTTTTATTGATTTCAGAGAGGAAGGGAAAAGGAGAGAGATAGAAACATCAATTATGAAAGAGAATCATTGATTGGCTGCCTTCTGCACACCCCAAACTGGGGATTGAGCCTGCAACCTGGGCATGTGCCCTTGACCAGAATCGAACCTGGAACCCTTCAGTCTGCAGGCCAATGCTCTATCCACTGGGCCAAACCAGCTGAGGCTGTTTTGTTTTTCCTAAAATTCAGCCATCACACTAGAACTGCACAGACTGCTGATTTAGTGAAGCACCGACCTCCAGCGTCCAGGACAATATCCACTCCCAGGCCACCTGTTTCTTCCAAACAGCTTTCAGCAACATGGGCTTTCCCACCGGACACGTCGATCACTCGGGCTGCGAAGGACAGGAAGTCAGGCAACTGCACTGCTCTCTATGTGATCAACACAAGGCAGAGGGACAGCAAGAGCAAACATCTGTCCTCTGGAATGAATGAACTGGTTCAAACAATTACTGAATCCAAATTATACTTTTTTCTCATCTAACCTGATACTGGTAAGGATCCATTTAAATGAAGGGATGGCATATTCAATAAAATAAAATATAAGCATTTTGCGGCTAGCGTGTCCCAAGGCTAGTCTATTTACACGGGAGACTGTTCTCTGTACCTTATATTGCCAGAACTGAGAACCTATAAAACCAGAGGGACATATACATTAAGACATGATCTGAAAGATTAAGTAATTTTTAAGTCTGTTCAGATTTAACAGAGTTTAGAGCTAAACAGCACAAAAGTCTATTTGGGCGACATGACACTTCTCCATTAGGGGCTGCTTTCTTCTTTCTCAGTCACAGAACTCCCTGCACCTCCCCACCTGCTGCTTCCCGTCAGCCATAGGGCTGCTGGGGACTCAGTGGTGTTATCCGTACTAACACCCAACAACCGCTGCCTGCCCGCCTGCCGGCTCCTCAGTTCCACTCCGCTCATCCTTTCTCTTCATCGTTAAACTCCAGTGCTCACTCTGTGACTCCCGCCTATTCCATTCCACCCCCATCTTTCTCCTTTTCAATCTACTCCTTTCTCCGCTTGCTGTCCAGAAGGGTTCACTCTTTTCAAGGGCTCCGAGTCTCCTCCGTGCCCTATTCATCATAAACTGTCTGATGTGTGCTTCTGTACAAGTGGCCACCTCCTCCCTAGAATATCACAGAAAGCAGACGACTTTAGAGGTAAACCGCTGGGTAAGAGGCGGAGAAACATACCCAGGATGCAAAATACACTGATTTATTGACTAAAACCAAAGAGGCGCCAGGTATTTCTAAATTGTTTCAAAGTTCACCTCATTCAAACTTGGCTAAGTTGATAACAATGGGGCAAAGAAGAAAAAAAACATTGAAAAAATAGGTTTAAAAAACAAAATAATTAGCCCTAACCGGTTTGGCTCAGTGGATAGAGCGTTGGCCTGCGGACTCAAGGGTCCCAGGTTCGATTCCAGTCAAGGGCATGTACCTTGGTTGCGGGCACATCCCCAGTAGGGAGTGTGCAGGAGGCAGCTGATCGATGTTTCTCTCTCACTCATTGATATTTCTGGCTCTCTATCCCTCTCCCTTCCTCTCTGTAAAAAATCAATAAAACATATTAAAAACAAAACAACTTATTAAAACTATTACTTAAGTAAACTTAGACTTAGCACAGACACTAAGTGCATTTTAAAAGGTGCTGCGCCTTCCAGGTTTTGTTTGAAAGTCTGTGTTGAGTGGGGTTACCCACCGAGAGCAGGCCGGAGTCCTTCCAGGTACTGCTTGTCTTCCGGGCTGCACGCTGTGGAGATCACTCTGGCTCCTCTGTGGTGCGCTAACTGAATGGCTATTGTCCCAAGCGCCTGTGTGGAAAACACACAGTAGGCTCACACACAGAGCGCAGAGGCCACCTCTAAATGGTCTTACAGGCTGTTCAATAAAGTGTAAGACGTTAGTGGTACTTCAGTATATTTTTAAATGTTATCTGACAGCAGAAGGAAAAACAATGCGGAGACGCTAAGTAGGAATAAACAGCTGATGGACTTCCTTCCTCAGAATGGGGTAGAGAGCCGCCCGGGCCCCCTGCTCTCACCCAGTCTCACCAGAGCAAATGCTTTCCAGGACGGAGCTGAGTTAGAAAGCAGCTTTGGGGTGAGAAAAAGGGCCTTTCAGGGGCTCCTGCAAGTCCAGTGAGCACTCGGGAGGGTCACGGCACTTCAACCCTCCGTCCTTTCTTGTGCTGACCTGGGGGGCGAGTTCAGGGAAGTCCTGCTGTCCCGGTGTTAACACCAGGCTGAAGCCACTGCTGAGGACAGTTCTGGCTTTTTTCAAAGAGAAGCACTTCAGCAACAGCCAGATAGAAAGTAAAACTGAAAGCACCCAGGTTTTGTCACAGTTGTATAATTTATATGTATACATACATGTTTTAATCCTCACCTGAAGGATATGTTCTTAGTGATTTTAGAGAAAGAGAGGGAGAAGGGAGAGGGAAGGAGGAAGGGAGAGAGAGAGAGAGAGAGAGAGAGAGAGAGAGAGAGAGAGAGAGAGAAACATGGATGTGAGAACTATCCATCGGTTGCCTCCTGTACGCCCCTGACTGGGGATCAAACCTGAAATCTAGGTATGTGCCCTAACCAGGAATCGAACCCACAACATTTTGGTGTATGGGATGATGTTCCAACCAACTGAGCCACCCGGCCAGGGCAGATTATAATATGTTTTTATGTATTTGTTTTTAGTATAGAATTATTTTTTTGATGATGCAGGTAAAATGTTTAAAGTAGCACATATTTGCATCTATAAATGCAACACCTTGTTAACATAAGTGTAAATGTGAGGGATATGATATGAAGTTGGTTGGGAGTTCTGAGGTATGGCTTCAAAGACTTCATGAGCTATTTCAGGCTTTGTGTGACTGGCATGAAAAAATTTGTTTGCTTTTGTAATTACTAGCACATTCAAAGTAAGAAACACAGCAAGTCTGACTTTTATCTCTTATTGATAAAAGCTGCTTATTTTCACAAAATAGAAATTTGGTAAAAAATATAAAAATCAGCCGAAACCGGTTTGGCTCAGTGGATAGAGCGTCGGTCTGCGGACTGAGGGGTCCCGGGTTCGATTCCAGTCAAGGGCATGTACCTGGGTTGTGGGCAAATCCCCAGTGGGAGATGTGCAGGAGGCAGCTGATCGATGTTTCTCTCTCATGGATGTTTCTAGCTCTCTATCTATCTCCCTTCCTCTCTGTAAAAAATCAATAAAATATATTTTAAAAAAATATATAAAAATCAGTGACTAAGCTACTGGCAAAGACTTATGTTAGTAAATGGAGGGCCCGTTCCTACGTTTGCTGTGCTTTGGCCTGTTTCTGAGCAAACCGTTAGCACCTACGCTTGCTCCGTCCATGATCAGCACCCACTTCCCGGGGGCGAGCCGCGAAAGGTAATGCAGAGCGGTGTAGGCTCGCACTCCGTCCCGAACGGTCCCAGCGGCTTCTGTCCACGACACTTTTTCCGGCTTGTGAACTATCACAAAGAACAGGAAGCAATCCGTTAGCAAGTCCCGCTGGTCTTGGCTCCTGGGTCTGGGCCTTCCCCTGGGCCCTGGGCCTGGCCTCCACTCCTACCCCGCGGTTTTCCTGCCTCCATTCCCGCCCAGGCGTAAGCCCCTCACCCACAGCCTCGTCTCCCACCAGAGGTCACTTCTCTGTTTAAATTGATATGATTGACATCAGAGGTCACCACCACCCTAACTTAATTTCTTATTTGCTTCCATAGGTTAGTCCTCCAGGATTCATTCCTAAATAAGGTAACTCAGTTCTGCCTGGTTTTAAGCTTTACCTAGATGCAGTCATATCCGTATGCATTATTTTCTGTCTTGCTTTTTATGCTCGACATTGTTTTTCACCCACTCCTACTCTGGTTATCTGTTCTCCAGTCGAGCAGCATCTGTGTGGTGTCCAGGTGGGGGCAGCGATAAACAGTGCTCTTGGGGGAAAGATAGGGTTACACTGGTGCCCATTTCCTCTAGGCCAGCGGTTCTCAACCTGTGGGTCTCGACCCCTTTGGCGGTAGAATAACCCTTTCACAGGGGTCGCCTAAGACCATCCTGCATATCAGATATTTACATGACGATTCATAACAGTAGCAACATCACAGTTATGAAGTAGCAACGAAAATAATTTTGTGGTTGGGTCACAACATGAGGAACTGTATTTAAAGGGCCAGAAGGTTGAGAACCACTGCTCTAGGCTGTTCTCTTAGGAACAGAACCCTCAGGTCCCGGGTACCTGCCACTTCACCACACCCGCCCAAGGGCCTGTGTGACCTCCTCTCCCACAGCTGTGCACTAGGTAAAGTGAGAAAGGATTGCTTGTGCTGTGAAAAGGCATTAAAACAGCCAAACATACTAAGCTAATTAGCACGTCATTAGTCATGTGCTACAGTGTGGTGCTGTCACCATCCTTGGAGCCTTGGCATGAGTCACATTTCTACCACCAAGTGGGTGTGGAGAGGTTTTCCTCGGATTTTAATTTGCTTTTCCCCAATATTGATGAAGGCGAGCATCTTGCCGTGTTTCCTGGCCATTTGTTCAAGTGTGTCATCAATTTTTCTTTGTATTGTCTTTTTCTCATTGATTATAGGAGTTTTTTGTGTATTCTAGATGAATTATTTGCTTATGCATTATAAATATTATTTTCAACTCTGGCTTCTCTTTTCAATCTTTTTAAGTGTCTTTGAAAAATAGAAATGTATCAGAATGATCTTTTAAAACATAAATAACATCCTAACACTTCTCTGCTTGGAAGTCATCAATGGCTTTCCACTGCATTGGGAACAAATGCAAACTTCTAATACAATTTATTTTTAATTTAAAATTTTTAAAAATGTATTGATTTTGAGAGAGAGAGAAACATGGATTTGTTGTTCCACTTATTTATGCATTCATTGGTTGTTCCTGGTATGTGCCCTGACCAGGGGATCAAACTTGCAACCTTTGCATTGGTTAGGACGACACTCTACCCAAGTGAGCAACCCGGCCAGAGAGCTCTATTGAGCTGACCATCAAGCTGCTCCTCATGTTTCATTATTGAATGTTTGTTTTGTCTTTATTTTGTAACTGAATGTGATCTTTTCACAGTGCAATCAATCCTTTCTCACTTTACCTCAAAACCCATTTTATAACACTTTTCATAGCCTCTACCAGCTCTTTCAGATATTTTTCCTCTGGCAACGTCCTCATTGCTTTTACCAACAACTAGTGCCATCTAGTGGGGAAGCCGAGCATCCAAATATACATGTTGAAAATGTTACAACAGACAAGCAAGGCATTGAACAGCAAAACATAAGCTAATTAGCATGTAATTAATCATGTGCTACATAAAGATGTTTGTCACCAATGGGTCACATATATGGCGGTGGGATCACATATAATCACATAAAATTATAATGGAGCTGAAAAGTTCCTACTGCGTAGTGACCTCTTACAAAACCCATTCCTCACGTTTGTGGTGATGCTGGTGTAAACAAACGGAGCACACTGCCAGGTATATAACAGTACAGCGTAGCCCTGGCCGGTTGCTTAGCGGTTAGAGCACCGACACATAGACCTAAGGGTCTCAGGTCTGATTCCCAGTCAAGGGCATATACCTCGGTTTGATCTTTGGCCCCAGTAGGGGGTTCGTGTGGGAGGCAACCAATTGATGGGACTCTCTCACGTCGATCTCCCTCTCTCTCTCTCTCTCTCTCTCTCTCTCTCTCTCTCTCTACCTCTCTAAAAGTCAATGGAAAAAATATCCTCAGGTGAGGATTAAAAAACAAAAACTAGACTGCGATGATGGTTGTATAACTCTTTAAATATATTAAAAACCACAGAATCCTACACTTTAAATGGGTACATTATATGGTATGTGGTTTAAATCTGGCTAAAAGGATGAGTGTGCATTCTTTTAGCCAGATTTTGACAGACCCAGATTCCTGCTCTGTATTTAAATTCCAAAAGATGGAAGAAAAGGTACAGCACATACAATATGTACAGTACACACAATATGTACAGTACAGCACACTGGATAATGGTAACAAACAACTATGTTGGTTTAGGTATTTACTATTTTTTATTGTTATTTTAGAGTGAACTCTTTCTACGGATAAAAAAAAAATGTGCTGTAAAGCAGTACGCTACGTATACCTGCAGCAGCCTCGTACACCTCGTGCTTACCACGTCTCTTGATTGCATCATGTTATCTTGTGCTTGATGTGATCTCATGTTTTGTGAAGTGATGTGCTGTACAGGCTTGGAGCCCAGGAGCAATGGCTGCTCCTACCACACAGCCAGGTGTGTAGAAGGCGATGCCATCCAGGTGTGTGTCAGAGCCTCTAGGATGTTCGCCTGACAGTGAACTTGCCTCATTTCTCAGGTTGCCTCCCCCTCGTTAAGTGGTGCGTGACTATAATTAATTTGTCTGAGACCATGTTGCTAACAGTTTGAATGTCAGACATTCCATGGCTGATATAGAGACAGGCCATCCTGGGGTCACCTAGGTTCCTCCATTAGTGCTTGTTTAGTTTACACACAACTTACTCACATGGAATTTTGGGGAACACGTTCCATCTTAATAACTGGGATTACCATTTTCATTAAAAACACACACACAAGTGGTCCTTAAAAAAATACTAACAGTAATACAATTATATTTAAGATCGCAACGGCTCTGAAATTGCATTGTTAGATAACACTAAATTATTTTCTATGCATTTGTACCAATTTATGCTTTTATGTGCATAAAAGGTCCCACTGCTGCACATCCTTGCTGACCCTCGGAATGGTGAGATTTTATAACTGTCCGTCCTGTGGTGCATAATGACATCTCTAAGTGGTTTTAATTTGCTTTTCCCTGATTGCTAAGGAGATGCCGTGACTTTTCACAATGGCTTCATGCAGTATGTCTGTGTTTATATTTATTTTAATTTAAATATTCAAGTAAATTAATATAAGAAGAATTAAAAATTAACATTTCACTTAAACTGAACACTTATCAAAATATATTAGCAATAGCAACCAAAGACAAGTGTTCTTGGTTCTTTCCTGTCTCAGACTCTACATGGATTTTCTAGATTTAAAAATAAATTTTATTTGTTGATTTTCGAGAGAGACATCGATTTGTTGTTCCACTTATTTATATATTCATTGGTTGATTCTCGTATGTGCCCTGACTGGAGATCGAACCTGCAACTTTGGTCTATTGGGATGACGCTCTAACCAACTGAGCTAGCTGGCCAGGGCTAAAATTAATTTTAAATGAACATTTCCAATTTCAATTAATAACCAAGCATAAAAAATATAATTTTTTTATTGGGAATATAATTTTAGAGAGAGAAACTTCTTTTCAAACCTCTAACCAGGAGCTGTGTGAATGAAACTTAAAGGTCTCTATACTGTTTAGTATGAGTATAAATTTTACGATACAAAATTATAAACTCGAGGTAGTCACATGACCAGCCAACAGTTATTTCCTATGTACACGCACAGTAGATGCACAGAAATGGCGATGTTGCCACCCACACCAGCGAAGTGAGAATGACTGAACCCCGAGCCTGAACTGCACATACCCAAGTAGTGCTCATGCACCCGCACAACCTCACAGAGTCCAGGGTCTTCAGAATCCAGGGGTAGGATCCCTGAAAGGAAACAATATTTAAACTAAAATAAATGTAAACACAGACATGCTGCATACGGCGACACTGAGGGAAGCATCCCCGAGTGAGTGGCTTCATTGTAAGGAGCGGCCGGCGTTAGTCTCATCCCGTTCGGTGGGCTGTGGGGAAGGCGCCGGGAATGACTAGCGCAGGGAAGGGACAGGCTTCGGAAATGTGAGAGGGAGGGATGCTCCTTCTCTCACACCAGCACCACGTCTCCTGTGCTCTTGTTCTTTCCTTCTCTCCTGTTCTTGCACCTTTGAGGGTGGGAGAGACGATGCTGATATAGAGGCAGGTCCGCCGGGGGGGCACCTGGGTCCCTCACTGAGATTGTCCCTGATGCGCAGCTGCCTTCCACGGCTGGGGTCGAGCCGCGGTCGCGCACAGGTGGCCCCGGACCCCTGGGGGTGCGTGAGGTCCCAAAGGTGGGAGACCGCTGGTCTGGAAGATACCCAGTGCTCCCAACGAAACCCCACTTCTACTTAAGCTCGTCTGTTTTATTTTTGGTCTCTTACAAAAAGAACCTTGAGTAATGCAGTGTCACTGACCTCTTGGCCAGATAAAGATAAGACAGACAGAAAAAAAAGTTAATTCTTCAAGAAAATACACGTCAAAGGCAATATCGTAAGAAGCTAACAAAAACATTCCGACAAATCAATTCTTAATAGCCTCAAGCTTGCCATAAAGTTAACCATTTTCTAGGCTTAGATGCATATCTTTCTATGAATATTTTCTATGGAGAAATGGTCATTTTAAAGACTAGTACGAAAGTCATACTTTATGTTTGTGTGATGGTCTAGGACAGTGGTCGGCAAACTGCGGCTCGCGAGCCACATGCGCCTCTTTGGCCCCTTGAGTGTGGCTCTTCCACAAAATACCGACTTCTGCGCATGGGCCATGAAGTTTCAATCGCACTATATGTGCGCCCGCACGTGGTATTTTGTGGAAGAGCCACACTCAAGGGGCCAAAGAGCCACATGTGTGTGTGTGTGTGTGTGTGTGTGTGTGTGTGTGTGTGTGTATGTAAAATAGTATTAACTATGGATTTTAAAATAATAGTAAATGAAATGTTCCCAGTGACTTCTAGCTTTCTAAGCGCAGTAAGGGAGAGGTCCCATACAATCCAGTTGAGGTGCACAGGGAGCTTCTATAGAGCCAGGTTGGTCGTGCAGATGACCTATGACCTTTCTCCAGAGTCTACAGGTCTGTCAGTCAAGGGCTGTGCCAAGCACAGTAACAGCAATGGCCTCCTTTTTATCTCATATTGTTCTACAGCCAAATACGGAAACGTTCCCAATGCTCTGCTGTTGAGATCAAACTCCCAATTCCCTTCATCAATGGACTTTTGAGAGCAAATTCCAAAAATCAGGAAAATACTTGTATATGAAGCAAGGTCACAGTAAACATTAATAACTGTACAGAGAAAAAAGAGATGATAGTAAAATAGACAACTTACCGACTACTTCATCATCAGGTTGAAAAAATGATACCTTACTTCCAACTAAAGCATAGAGAAAATTAATAATTAATATGAGGTTATTAAATACCATTCTTATTTAACTATTAAAATAAAAAGACCCATGGGTTTATAAACAGTTGCTAACTCAGAGAAAAGAACGTGTAGGACATTTTGATGGTCTATAGAGACTGTTGGATAGAACACTTCAAATCTGGATTCTCACCCTGGCCGGGTGGCTCCGCTGGTTAGAGCATCATCCCAATATGCCAAGGTTTGGGGTTTGATTCCTGGGCAGGGCACACACAAGCCCCAACCAATGAATGCATAAGTAAGTGGCACAACAAACTGATGTTTATCTCTCTCTCAATTCAATCAATAAAATTTTTTAAAATACAGATTCCTTACAAAATTTTCTACAAAATCGGGGCCATATGGCTGTTGACAGCACAGAGAAGAATGTCTATTTAGGATTAAGGGATAAAGGGAAACAGTCCGCGTCACAGCTCCTGTGATGGTTACATGGCTTCCTACCCGCAGCCCAAGTTCCCATCGTTATTTCAGTTCCAGAATCTCAGACACACACGGAAGTTGTGGTAAGAGTCACATCGGAAGTTGCTTTGATTTGGAATGATGGAAATGAACTCCTGGTGGTGCCCAGAACATTCGGGGACTGTACAGAAATGAGTGACACTTCCGGCACATGCAGAGAGAAGCCGCTACTGTCAGCCAGCTCTTTAGAATATTTCTGTTCAAACAGTTATGAGAGGAAACGCCCCGAATGCCCACTGCGTGCAGCATTCTCTGACATCAGCTTCATCTTCACAGCATCAGGCTAGACCTGCTCCTTCCAGGCTCACAGGTGAGCAAACGGCTGAGCCCGAGGGAGGCGGGATCTGGCATCTGCCGTGGACGCTGGCGGCTCTGGCATCACAAGGGCCCCACGGGGAGGGGAGCTCCGTCTGATGTTCCCGCGGCAGGCCCCCTTGTTCCCGTTTCTTGGCTCCCCACAGCCCTCCTCCTACAGTAGCTGTGCCTGCTGGGCCACCGTACTTTTCCTTCTGCTCCTGACCCTCCTCCTCCTGGGACCGCTCTGGTCCCTTTTCCTTGGCTTCCTTCACACTCCTCTTGACTGTCCCCCAAATGAGCATTCCCAAGGGTTCCATGCTTATGCATCTGTCCCTTCTCCATTGCTACTCCCCCGGTGAGTTCATCAGCTTTATTACTTCAAATATAACTACATGCTGACAACTCTCAAATACGTGCACTTCCTGCACAGTCTCACCTTTGAGCTTAAGTCAGAGTACCGCTCACTAGATATCTCCGGGGGATATCACTTACGTACCTTGAGCCCAACAACCATAAATCTAAACTGTCCGTCTTCCTCCTAATAAAACCCTCTCCCCTTATCAGTTGGTGGCACCGATTCATGGCTTAGCCAGAGCCCTGGGCGTCACTCCTGGCTCTTGCTGCTTTTAATTCCCCTGTTCCAGTCAATCATTAAGCCATGCGGACTACTCCTCCGTATTTCTTGCATATGTACGTCTTCACCTTTGCCACCAAAGCCTCGGTCATGGACTCCGTCGTCTGTTGGCTATTGGTCTACAGCCCAACCAGCCCTACTACCTCCAGCCCGGGTTGCCTGCAGTCTACCCTTCATGTGGCTACTCTAACAGCCTCCCGTACAACCCAGGCTGACATAGGAGGCTCTGCCTGGGTCTGGCCCTTGCCTACCCTCATGCCTCATTTTTCCCCCATTCCTTTTCTTTTTTTAAAAATATATTTTGTTGATTTCCTACAGAGAGGAAGGGAGAGGGATAGAGAGTGGTACATGCCTTTGACCGGAATCGAACCTGGGCCCCTTTAGTCCACAGGCCGACACTCTATCCACTGAGCCAAACCGGTTAGGGCTCCCCCATTTCTTTTTAATCCTCATCTGAGGATATGTTTATTGATTTTAGAGAGAGAGGTAGAGAGAGAGAAAAAACATTGATGTGAGAGAAGCATCAATCGGTTGTCTCCTGTACTCACCCCAACTGGGGGTTGAACCCGAAACCTCGGTCTGTGCCCTGACTGGGAGTTGCACCTGCCACCTCTAGGTGCATGGGACCATGCTCAACCCACTGAGCCACCCGCCAGGGCCGGAGGAGTCAGCGTCCATATCATCATTGAAGTATCAGGGTTGCTACCTTTTACTCTTCTGCTCCAAGGATTTTCTTGACAAAATGTTTCTGTGCCAAGTATCTTACCCCAACACCAAACTGCCAATCTTTCCTTTTCTTCGTCCTTAGTACCTGACATGACTCGCCTCTGCCCGCGCTCAGGGCCCCTCCCTGAGCGACCTCCTGCCGCCCGCACTTCCGCTCACTCCCAGGAGCCTCCCCTGCTTCTCGCTGGGCTGGCCCGTCCTCGGACCTTCACGGCGCCCCACTCATGTGCGCGTCTGTCTCTCCCTTACATTGTGAACACTTCCTTTTTGGCAATCCAGAAAAAGATTAGAGGACATTTTCCCCATTGATATTTTAGAGAGAGTGGAAGTGAGGGGGTTGAGAGGGGAGAGAGAGAGAGAGAGAGAGAGAGAGAGAGAGAGAGATGATGTGAGAGAGGCACATCGATCGATCGGTTGCCTCCAGCACGTGCCCAACCTGGCAGGAGAGGGGGGCGGGGGAAGGAGGGGCTGGTGCACAGGCCGATGCGCTAACCACTGAGCACACAGGCCAGGGCTAGATTATGAACCCTTTGAGGGTAGGGACTCTATCTTATTCATCTTCAGATACCAAGCTCTTAGCAAGTGCTTGTTAAATATGGAATAAATGAATAAATCAATGATTACTCATCTTCTGGCCATTATAATTCTTATTTTTATTTTCCTACAGTGTGAGTAGAAGAAAGGAGAGGGAATGAAATTATGATTTAGCTGTTAGATTACATTGAGAAAGAATCAAATATATTATGGGTTAGAATTACAGGCAAAACTCAAATAGTCTAACCCACTGTATTCCATGCTCATTCACGCACATGCAGAAAGAGCAGCCATATACTCACTGATCACGAACTACCCATTAGCAGCGAGTATGAATGGCTGGTCTGCTTAGAAACAAATTATTTCAAGTACTTAGCTTACTGTCCTGCATGTTAAGACCATTATTTACGACATAAAACTTAACAATTTTTTGAGTTAAGGCAATCCTAAAATCTTACTGGTTATTTCTTCCCAGAACCCATTTTTATTAATTAATTAATTAATTTATTTATTTTTAAAAATATTTTTATTGATTTCAGAGAGGAAGGGAGAGGAAGGGAGAGAGAGAAACATCAATGATGAGAGAGAATCACTTACTGGCTGCCTCCTGCATGCCCCCCACTCGGGATCGAGCCTGCAACCCGGGCATGTGCCCTGACCCGGAATTGAACCCTGACCTGGAATCAAACCCTGACCTCCTGGTTCATAGGTCGATGCTCAACCACTAAACCACCCTAGCCAGGGCAGAACTTATTTTTAGATGAGCAAAATGCTTAACTTTTAAATGCTCAATTTTACACAAACTTTAAAATTTAATGTCAATGTAGTTACTATTATGTAAATTTGGGCCAAAAGCCAATGTACAGAAGTAATTTATGCTGGTTTGTAAACAACGTTGGTCATTCTATTCGGTATGATTGCTGATAGATTGAAATACATAATCCCTAAATATTTACTGAAGTATAATAAGCTCTTTAATTATAAAACACCAGTTAAGTTCTATTTTTCTTTTTAATTTAAAAAAGGGAAACATTTCTGTATAATTACATTTCCTATTTGAAGACGAGTGTATGATTTTATGTGCCAGTTCCCAATTAGCTGCCATGTAATTCTTTTACCTTAGAAAACAGATACAGGTATTTATATCTGAAAACTTACCATCTAACACGATTCCAGCAATTTCTCTCCCAACGGGAAAGAAATCCTTCTCCATCTTCATTTCTGCCAGAAGCTGAATCATGACAAAGGCCATTTATTGTCAAAAGTAAATCCTGGCTTCTTACACCAGAGGGAAGCAAGAGCACAAATCAAACCACAAAAAAAGCAAATAGGATTTAATATTTGGAATAAAGCCAAAACAAATAACTTCACAAGATAGGTTTCTCGTTAGAGTAAGAATTGGTTGTTATGTAGGAATTAGGTATGAGTATCATTATTCCAATCACCATTAACATACTTTGTTTAACACCTTTCTTCTGCCAAGTATGAAGGGAAAATATGTCCCAAATTTACCAGTCAGCTCATTAGATGGGGTGAGGGAGCTGGGGGAGGGAGCTGGGAATGAGGGGTGAGGCTACTGAGAACAAGGGCTCTCCTACCCACAGCCTTTAAAATCCGCTGGGTGTTTCTCACAGGTCTTGGGTTAAGAAGCAGGTGGGAAGAGGTGATGGACATACTTAGGAAAATTGCCATTTATTTTCAATTTGGAATTTTTTAAAAAGAATAAATCATTTATTTTTGAGAGAGAGATTAGTGTTTTGTTAATATTCTGGCCAAACTGAGCACTTAACTTCTGAAGTGACAGAGTATATATACAGATAAGCCTGTAGTTTAAGTTCCTGCCATTTATACTTTTACTAGAGGCCCGATGCACGAAATTTGTGCAAGAGTAGGCCTTCCTTCCCCTGGCTGCCGGCACCGGCTTCCCTCCGGCACCGGGACCCGGGCTTCCCTCTGGCCGCTGGCAGGCTCTCGGGACCCGGGCTTCCCTCACAGTCCCGGCTTCATCCAGAAGGTCATCCGGAAGGACCTCCGAAAGGATGTCTGGTCTAATTAGCATATTGAGCGTTTATTATTACAGCTAATAATACCAGAGCCGTGAACATACTTGTAGGTATCATAGTATTTTAGGAACAGTAAGTAAAAAGAAATTGAAGTAATTCTCTTGTATATATTTTTTATCTTTCAGTATTTAGATCTCCTATATAAGCTCTCCTACCTGATTGCCAGAAAAATCTTTCAATGTGGAACTTTGTACTTTTGCTAAGATGACAACATGACACTCACAGAAATACTGGATGTTTTACATGATTTCTTTTCACATGGTTCTTTTATGCACCTTGTACAGAGCTATAATCACGGTTATAGCCACTGCCTCCTGCTTCCGTCACCTACCATGAGCGTTTCGTACATCGCTACACATTTTCATAACCGTGATGTTTAGTAGTTGTGCAATATTCCATTGAATTTACTTTGCTATTTCTATTAGACATGAGATAACTTCCTAGCCTCGGATTTTCCCTCTTTTCCACCTGCTCTATCTTTTATATCTTTCCCTGCATTACTGCACCATCGAGGCCTCCATATCCCGAAGAGGCTCGGCAGAGGTTGTGACAGAAGCCCGGTTTGTCCTTTTCTTTCCTGTTCCCAGACTGGGACTGTTATGCATTTTTCAGTTTAAAAAGGACAGCGTGGAAGGGCTGAGCACAGAGCCCCGCAGACAAGGAGCAGTCCTCCTGTTCCTGCTCAGAGGGCTGCGGAGCAGCTTCCCTTCTCCCGTCGTGCTCAGGGAACAGAGCAGCCAAGGGAAGCATATGACTTTGTTCTGTAATTTCCCTACATGTGGCTTCACTGCAGAAAACTTTTAGATTCCTAGAAATTATGGTGACATTATTATCCAATCATTTAAGGGTCCAATAAAACTTTGGTATTGATTTTTACAAAGCAGAGTAAATGGCCCCGCTATATCTATCATAGCACATTCAACCACAGTTTACCGTTTGAAAACTGACCATGTATTTCATGGTCAATAATGGAAGATGGATGACTAGGGGTAGTGAGAGGCTGGGGATGTGAATGCAGGAGAGAAAGACAAAGAGAAATGATAAGAATATGAACTCTATATAAAGATGTTAACTAGAAATGTCTATAGAATAGACAGCTAATAAATTAGTTGATTCAATTTCTATATTTTTACTATATTTATAAAAGCATTTTCTTCCTTGATTATAGGCCTTAGTAATTATAAATTCTCAGCCTTTCACAATGTAAAGGAGCTTATAAGTTATTTTCCAATAATAATGTAAAATTCATAACTTCAATTAGACCAGAGGTTTGCAACCTGTGGGTCGCGGCCCCTTTGGGGGTCGAAACAACCCTTTAACAGGGGTCGCCTAAGACCATTGGAAAACACATATATAATTACATATTGTTTTTGTGATTAATCACTATGCTTTAATTATGTTCAATTTGTAACAATGAAATTGGGGGTCACCACAACGCGAGGAACTGTATTAAAGGGTTGCGGCATTGGGAAGGTTGAGAACCACTGAATTAGACTAATATCTTAATATGGAAACATACAAATTCACATAAACTTTTCCCCTAGCTAGTCTATTCTTCTAAGGATGACAATAATTTCTTGGCACTCAGAAGTCAGTTATCATTATATTAGTAAACTAAATAGACTATGAATTCTCATTTGACTTTTAGCCCAAATAAAAGCCCCAATACCTTTGTATTTATGTGGCTCAGAGCACAAGCTTTAACTTGAAGTTTCACATAGTTATCCTCTGCAACAGGAAGATTTTCCTAGAACCAATGATAACAAAATATTACACATTCATTTGAGCCCATGCCTTTATGATGTGAACATTTTCATACACAACTGAACAAAATTAAACAGGCCCCAAATCTAACTTTAGGGATGAAAACTAAGAGCTATTTGTATGCCATACTTGTATATTCCATAGTATAATAAGGATTTCGGAACCATGAACACAATCCAGTTTTCCTCTGTCATCTTTCACTAACTCCAAAATCATTTAAGTCAAGAGTCAAAATCTCAGACAGCTTGCTTCTACCACTGGAATGATTTTGGCTTGCGACAGACCTTTCAAACAATCTCCAATATATGAAAATTCCACTCTCTATGCTTAAAGTGGTAAAAAACTAGAAACCATTTAAAGTTTAGTGAATAGGGTGACTTTGCAAAGCTCAGAAATTAGTGTGGAAAACAGTGTTTTCCACCTCTTTTATTTCACAGTTTGAGAGAATGTATTTTCTGAAATATGATTACAATCTGGAAATTTACCTTATTTTATTTTATTTTTTTTTGCTGGTAATTGTGCTTTAATTTCTGCAGTCAGACATGGTGCAGTGAGATACAAGTAAACTTTCATTGTACGTTCAAAAAATAAAAAGCACATTTATACAGATTTAGCCCAACAGCTTATTCCCTTAAAAAAAAAGTTTTACATGTAATTAAAGCTAATTTATCTTCAGTGTAAAAACTTGGAGGTATAAACAAACTCAAGATATTATACACGGTAAATTAACGTACACGGAAATTTACCTTATTGTGGTATTCAAAATAAATTGAGTTAATTTTGCAACATATAAGGCTATTAAGGTATTGTTTTCCTAATATCTTTTATACCACCACCCAGGGGACTAAAAACTCTTTTGTAGCAACTCTTTTAAAAATATAGTTATACTACAATATGGACCAGCACTGTAACATATGATTAAAGGAAAGTAATTTCTAGAGTTTCGTTTAAGTTTCACTAAAAGATCATTTAAACTGGGTAAATATACTTATCTTGTTTCGTTTAATGATTAAACAATTTTTCTCACCCGTTCTTGAAATACAAATGTTATTTTTTCATTTGTGGAACTCTGTTGAAAATATAAGCCTTTCATAGTCACCTAAAGCAAAACAAAAAAAGAAAAAATATATACATGAAATAAACAAACCAACAAAATGTCATCTCTACCAAACGAAAGCAAAAATTAAAAAATAGTGCTGGCAAAGGATAAAATGACAACTATAAATGTAGTTTTCAAACAAAGAAATTTAGATAATAGTGCTTGAAAGTGATCCAGAAGTGAATATGCCATCTTCGCAGAGAAGGGGTTTACAGGTCAGCTTTCCACATGAAGGTGAGCATGTGTTTAATTTCACTTTGCTATTCAATAAAAATGATTAGATGTACTTGGGGGGTGGGGGTGGGGGGAAACGGAAGAGGTTCAGAGAGCTCAATTGTAATGACCAAAGGTGTCATTTGAAAGGCGGTCAAAGTCTTAAAAAAGACCATTAGGAAGGGAAAAGTGGGCCCTCGCCGGTGGCTCAGTTGGTTGAAGCATTGTCCCCTCCACCAAAAGGTTGGGGGTTGATTCTGGGTCAGGGCACATCCCTAGGTTACAAGTTTGATCCCTGGTCCAGGCCTATGGGAGACAACCCACCAATGTTTCTCTCTCACATTGATGTTTCCCTCTCTCTCAAATCAATAAAAACATACCCTTGGGTAAGGATTAAAAAATAAATAAAAGAAAAAGTGGTCCATCAAGACATCAAAACTGTGCCCTTAATTCTTCTGTGACAGTTTACAACCATTTAATGGAAGTATTTAAATCTGTAGTCTGTGGATTCTTGAAGCACATCTAAGGATTCCAGTTGTTTAATTTTCATAATAATTTTATGAAAGACTATTTTATTTTTTTATTTTAGAGATAGAGGAAGGAGAGAGGTAGAGAGAGAAATATCAGCTGATTAGCTGGCATGTGCCCTGACCAGAAATCACACCGGTGACCTTTTGGGGCACAGGATGGCGCTCAATCAATGAGCCACACTGACCAGGGCAGGACGATTTTCTTTTTCAAATCCTCACCCGAGGATATTTTTTCACTGATTTTAGAGAGAGTAGGAGAGAGAGGGAAAGATGGAGAGAAATATTGATGTGAGAGAAACACATCGACTGGTTGTCTCTCGTGCCCTGACCAGGGTCCGGCTGGGATGGAGCCTGAAACTGAGGTACTGGCCCTTGACCAGAATCCAACACGGACCCTTCGGTCCGCAGGCCGACACTCTATCCACTGAGCCAAACTGGCCAGGGCAAGACTATTAAGTGTAAATTTACAGAAGAGCACAACGCACACGGGAAGTGCAGAGGCCCTACTGCACAGCCTGCTGACCTCTGCGAAGTATTCGCAGTCATGCGGAAGCAGTACTCGCATCCAGAAGCTTCTGTGCCCCCGCTACTCACCACCTCCCTTCCTGGGGACACTCACTAGCCCCTAGCAGCACAGGCTCGTTTGGTCTGTCTCACTTTATATAAAAGAAACTACATTCCTTTATGTCCACTTTCTTTTTCTCAACACCACGTTTGTTTCACCCACATTGTTGCTGGTAGTTGTAGTTCATTCATTCTCATTGCCATAAAATATTACTATTATATTCATTCATTACTATTGATTAATTCCACTATAGACATTTGATTGTTTTCAGTTTGGGGCTTTTACAAATTATTCTTGTGCCTACTTGTACAAGGTGAAAGTGTTATTACATTTATTTTATGAAGGAGGAAACGGAGTCTTACAGAGGTTAAGGCACATCCCTAGGGCCTTATAGCACCAGCTGGGCCAGATCTGGGACGAACCAGATGCTACCAACTCCAAAGTAATTTCTCTCATCAATTATACTTAACGGCTTTCTATTGAGCTGCTAACATTAGACTTTCCACTTGAAACTAGAATCCTATATCCTTTAGCTTAGGATGGTCATTTATGAAGTCCTTGTTGATAAAACTGATATAGGATTTGCAGAGCCCAGTGCAAATGAAAACGTGGGGAACCTTGCCCAGAAATTACGAAAATTTCAAGCTGGTGACCAGAGCACGAAGGCTTCTGAGCGTGAGGTCCAGGGTGAATGTAAAGGTCCCGCCAGGAGCCCGCCTGACGTTAAACCTCAGAGGGTCTAACGGTGCTCTGTGGGGTTTTTACTGAGTAAGTGAGCAGTGCTTCCTGCTTCCTAGAACATGGTAATCAGATTCTGGAACCGAGAGAAATGAACACACACTCAAGGCACCTCTAATCATGTGTGTAGCACGTACCAACGGGGCATATGAAAACAGAGGAGCCAGGTCAGATGACATGGATTCCAACCCTCTGGCAAGAAGGGCTGTGTGTGCATGTCAGTGAGTGTGTGGGGGTGTCTGCAGGGGAGCACAGATCCAGCAGCCAGGCGTTCATTCCCTTTGACAGTAAACCAACCCTCGAAGCCCAGCTCCCAAGGCTGTCTAAGAGGCATGACCCGCTGCCCGTGTCCGCCTGACGCCCCATTTCCCAGCGCACACCCGGTCTGATCCCGTCACCCTGACTTCACACCATATGGCCACTCGTCTCAGGGCGTCCAGGCTCTGCTTGTTCGCTGAGACTGCGCTGTACTGACTCTGCAGATTCTGCAGAGTGAAGCAAGCTCAACCCTGCCCCCTCTCCAGAGACTCCCCCAGTGACACTCAATCTACCCCATCTGTTCCCTGCTTCTAGATCTCATTACATACTAACAAAACCTTGCCTGACTCACTCACTCACTAGTGGGTTTTCCCAGCTATTGCTTGAGAGAATCAATATCCATTATCACTAAATACTGAAATCCTTGCTCCTGCTCAGTCTGGAGCTACTGGAGTCGCCTTTTGAGAAAGAGAACTTTTACATGGAACACCTTGATTTCAAACATCTCCTCTGTAATCCGGGAAGCCACTGTTTCCTCTGCCCACTGCATCTTAGAACATGCGCTGTCTCCCAGAGCAGCAGTCACGTGGACCTCAAACCACAGCACCCCAATTTCAAAGGCCTGGGCAGATAACTGCACGACAGCAAGTATTATACACATAACATCACCAATGTTTTTAGTCAGATGACCCTAAGTTGTTCCTCTAAATTTTGGGTTAAAATTGGCCTGGCTGGCAGAAAAAAATAATGCTTAGTTGGTCCAATAAAGAACCAAGTGGGAACAAAAATATCCTCAAAATTACAAAGGGAAGAAAGAGAAGTGTTTTTACAAAAGTAGCAAGAAAATTGAGGAAATCTTATTTTACAAACCCCAAAAAGGAATACTGAGTGCTTGACACTAAGAAAATGGTGGAATGGATGGTATTCAAGGACCAAGTCGTCTCTCAGGCATTGGTCTAGATCAGTGATGGCGAACCTATGACACGCCTGTCAGAGGTGACACATGAACTCATTTTTTTGGTTGATTTTTCTTTGTTAAATGGCATTTAAATATATAAAATAAATATCAAAAATATAAATCTTTGTTTTACTATGGTTGCAAATATCAAAAAATTTATATATGTGACATGGCACCAGAGTTAAGTTAGGGTTTTCCAAAATGCTGACACGCTGAGCTCAAAAGGTTCGCCATCACTGGTCTAGATTAAATGGAACACTTAAGTGTATTATGTCAAAATTGTTTTATTGAATGTAAATATACTTGCACACAGGAAATAAATTAGCTGAGCACCTTATAAAATAAAAATATAAGTTAAAATATAGCACTTATCATGCCATTTCCAAGAATGAATGTCATTAACTTCAAAATTATATGTTGTACTCTCTTTTTTCTCAAGAAAAACGATTTTGAATATGATGTTACATGCAATAAACATCAATTATTCAAGAAAAATCTTATACATAATATTACATGCAATAAACATTAATATTTCAAGGATAAAAAGATTTTAAGTATAATGGTATTACCACAACTGTACTAACATAGTATGATATCATAAAAGTTGTAGGAAATATTAAAAATCTGCAAATAACAGTATTACTTCTATTATACTTCTAGTATATTTTTTTCCCTTCTGTCTCTATTTTTTTTTAAATATATTTTATTGACTTTTTACAGAGAGGAAGGGAGAGAGATAGAGAGTTAGAAACATCGATGAGAGAGAAACATCGATCAGCTGCCTCCTGCACATCTCCTACTGGGGATATGCCCACAACCAAGGTACATGCCCTTGACTGGAATCGAACCTGGGACCCTTCAGTCCACAGGCCGACGCTCTATCCACTGAGCCAAACCAGTTTTGGCTGTCTCTATTTTTGTTCATCAGTTTATGTTGTTCATTATATTCCAAAAATGAGTGAGATCATATGATATTTATCTTTCTCCGCCTGGGTTATTTCACTTAGCATGATGCTTTTAAAGTCTATTTTGTCAGATATGAGTATTGCTACTCCAGCTTTTTTTTTTCCATTTGCATGGAAAATTTTTTTCATCCCTTCACTTTCACCCTGTGTCTTTTGTTTTGAGGTGGGTCTCTTGTAGACAGCATATAGTTGGGTCATGTTTTTGTATCCATTCAACTAACCTACATCTTTTGATTGGAGCATTTAATCCATTTACATTTAGGGTTATTATTGAGAGGTACTTATTTATAGCCATTTTAATTCTGTACAGCTAGGTTTCTCTCTCTGTTTCTTCTCAGCAGTCCCTTTACAGCAATCCTTTTAGCATTTCTTGTAATGCTGGCTTGGTGATGATGAACTCCTTTAGCCTTTTTTTGTCTGGGAAGCTCTTTACCTATTTGACCTGTCTATTTGAATGATAGTCTTGCTGGATATAGTAATCTTGGTCTCAGATCCTTGCTTTCCATTACCTTGAGAACTTCATGCCATTCTCTTCTGGCCTGTAGAGTTTCTGATGAGAAATCAGGTGTCAGCCTTATGGGAACTCCTTTGTAGGTAACAGTTTTCTCTTGCTGCCTTTAAGATTCCCTCTTTGTCTTTAATTTTTGGCATTTTAATTATGTATGATGTGTCTGGGTGTGGGTCTGTTTGGGTTCTTCGTGTTTGGGGTTCTCTGTGCCTCCTGAACTTGTGTGACTTTTTCCTTTACCAGGTTAGAGAAGTTTTCTACCATT